TCAATAAATGAATAGTATCTCTTCTAGGAATTGTTGTGTAGTTGCTTTGTCTTCAATAGGAAATAATATTTAAGTTTTTAGTTGAGAATCAGATAGAAGAGGTTTTTTTGTAATTAAATAATTATTTGGAAGTTTAGCAAATATATATTCTAATTGTAGAATCCTAATATGATTAATAAAATCCTCTTGGTTTTTTGGGAAAAAAGGAAATTTTGCTTCAAGACATGGAGGAAGAAGTTAAAGTATAACTAGTAAAGGTAGTAATCACTCAGGCAGATTAAAAAAATGAGAATATATTCTGATATATAGATAGTATTTTTGGAAGGCTTGTTTGTAATTTGATAGTTGTTTAAGATCTGCTCAACTAGAAATTAGAAAAAGGTCTCTAATTTCTGTGTATAGGTTTTCAATTTTTTTTAGTAGAGGTAAGTAATTATCTTTGAAATATGTTTCTAGAAGTATTTGAAAAATAAAAACTTTATGTAATACTCTTACGATCTGATGAGTATCATAGTGGTTAGTTAAAAGTAGTTTAAAACTTAAGGTATTATTGATGTAAGAAAGTATATCTTTAGGATCATCAGGTAGTGGTAGTAAGTTGTTGATGATACATTTAGAGATTATTTGCCAGATATTATTGAATTTAAAAGAAATCATAGTTTTAGTAAAGCTTGCTAGATAGAAAATTAAATGAGCTATTTTATATAAATCTTTTATATTGAAGTCTATGTTTAAGAGGTAATCTATTCTAATTTTCTTGTGAAGCATAAAGAAGATTTTATCTCTATTTGTTTTGTTAGTAATTATTATATCATATTGTTGTTTGTATTGTTCAATTGCTATAGTAAGTAAATTATTAAATTCTCATTGATGTTGAAGTCGAGTTTGAGTAGAGTAAGTAAAAATACAAAAAAACTAGGTATCATAGTAATCTAATTTAGCAAGAATAGCTTCAGAGATAAAGTAGTTAGTAGGTAAATACTTTAATTTGTATTTAGTAAATTCTTCAAGTATAGAAAGAGAAGTAAAAATTTCTATGTATTTGTTACAGTTCAAAAGTAAAGTATCTATAGGTTAGTATTTTTCTAATCTTTTATCTTTCAAAGCTAGGATTATTTTATTAGTCTACTCTTTTTTTTTATAGTCTACTTGTAGATTATTGTTATTGTCATTCTTTTTGAGTTTTGTTAAGATGTTCTTTTCTCTGTTAAGGCTTGACTATAGGTAAAAGTAGGAGTGCTTGTACTCATTGTTGATATAGATTCTATATTTTTTGTATATGTATTAACTTTTATATTTATAAAATTTGAGTTAGATATTGTTGCTAGGAATTCAGATATTAGTTCTGGGTTGTTATAATTGGGTTCTAAATGAAGATCTATTCCAGATCCTTTGTTTTGTTAATTAGAGGCCATAAGAATATTTGTTGTATATGATATCATATGTTGTTTTGTTAGGGTAGAACCAGATTCCTCACTTTTTTGTAAATTTTTTTTGAAGTTTTCAGAATTGGTCATAGAGGTATGAATGGTATATGAAGTAGGTCTTTTTTTACTACTATTAGAGTCTTTTTTTTTTTTTTTTTTTTCAGATATTTATCAGTAAGCAAAGTATCTGTAGTAGTAGAGGCAATAAAGCTTTCTGTTAGTTTAATAGTATTATTATTTGGAGATATTGTCGATATAGTCGCAATACAAGTTTGTTAAAAGATATAGGAGTGAAGAAAGTGAGGTTTTTATTTTTTTTAATTGTGTATTAGAATATGTTATTAATATTTAGTTATTTAGTATAGAGTAGTCATATATAGATTTATTTTATTTTTTTTCTTTCTTCAGATTTATTGTTTTAGTGATCATTGAAAAGAGTTTATAATTTTGTTTTTATTTAATTAATATTTATTTTTCAAAATTTGTTAAATTAAAGAAAAATTTATCTATTTCTAAATATTCTAAGAGATTTTAATAATTGTTTAAATTTATTTTTTTAGAATTAAAGAGATATATATTTAGATCTCTAATTTAAAAAATATATTAATATTAAAATATTTTTGTTTGTCTATAAATTATAGTATAACAATAAAGTTGTAATTTTATTATTTATTTGTCTAATTATCTTTTAAGCTATAAGAATTTTAACTATTAGAAAGCTAAATAATTAGTAATTAGTTTTTTTTTTTTTTGTTATTAAGGTGACTTATATTGCTAAAGGAATTTTATTAGAATTATATACAGGATATCTATTGATAGTCCTTACTATTTGTAATTACATGAAGAGTATATAATAAGCTATACGTATAACTTTAGTTATTGTCTATTTTAAGTAGTTTGCTGTATAGGCAATTAAACTACCTGATTGGTTTTATACTATGCTGCTATATCTGTAACCTGCTTGTGAGTTACCTATTTAAATACTCTGTTCATTAACCCATACAAATCAAACTAACGTCACTACAATATCTAACTGCTTAAGCCAGCTATCTCATTATAGATCTATTTTTTCAGAATGATTTAGATCTTCTTGGGATATATTATATCTAACACATTGTAAATATTGCAGAGCCAGTTAACCTCGAAGTATACCTACTAAAGTAGTCCATACTTATTTTATAAATTTATCTAGTTTAGACCCTTGTAGATATTCATACAACTCTAGTTCCTACTATAGCTCTCTACTAGTTTTCTGTATTCTATCTTCTCAGATATTTCACAAGACAAATTCTTCTAATCTAGCTAGCTGCTAAGCCAAGTTGATATTACTAATTCTCCTTATAGAACAAATTTATACGTATCTAACTCAATCTGCATCTTTTGAAGATAGTTTTTTTTCTGAATTAAGCATTAGCTAGTATGACTGTTGAAAGCCGTACTATTTCACCAACTTAGGATTTTTACTATGCAGGTCCCCTGCTCATAGATCCTATTAAGATTTATTCATGTAATGTTATATCTTGCTAAATACCTCGTTACACTTCCAATATTCAGATAATATTAGTACAATATGATTTACAGAGTTACAACTCCAGAAATAAACAGGTTTACTATAAATTAAGTATAAAGATTTAGATAATTATTCAAATTTGTTGACAGTAGAATTTGAACTCTAGACCTCTTGCATGATAGTTTTGCAACCTAACTACTACACTAAGATCACTAGATCTAATAATCAATAATTAGTATAAAGTAGTTTGTTCTAAAATATTTATAAAAATATTTTATAGTTTATATAGAGCCTTTGCAGTAGAAAAAGTAAATATTATAATATATAAGATTTTAAGAAAATCAAATTTGTTTTGTTCAGACTAATCTGAGTTTATCAAAATTTTCATAATTTGATTAGTTAGTTATATCAGATAATCTCATAATATATAAAACCTTCAAAAAAAAAAATTAAAATATTTTAATTTTTTATTATACAAATTATTATCTATTTATAATTAAAAAATATAGCCTGTATTAAAATTAATTTGAATTTAGCAAAACCTTGATTTTTATTTTTGAACAGTATCTGCTCTTTCTACTGTAAAGGCTTTATATTATAATAGTATATTCTAATTCTATTATTATATAGTTTATTTTTTATTTTTTAAGACTTTTACTTGTATAAGCTATAAGATGTTCTTTTCTATTATCTGCAATTTAACTTAATATTACTTTAATCTATTATAAAAAGTATTAGTTAAGAGAATAAATTCTGTTTTATAATTAAAGTAAATTAGAATAAAAGCTATTACTAATCTTTGCTTAATTTTATCAAATACTTCTTGTTATTAATTATTCTATTTATACTTAATATTAATATATAATATAATTTAGAAGTTAAACTATAGCAAAGAATTTTTTTATAAATCTTTTATAATATTTAGCAAGTTCTAGAAATAAATAAAGCTGGACAAACTAAACACACAACTCTTTCCACAGATTATTTTGGCTATTTTTTGTGCTAAAGGAAAATCATATATAGCAAAAAAACTACACTAAAAAACTACTTAAGAAGTATTAATAGAAAAGAAAGAGCATATAAAACTACATATAGTAGAGTTAAAAATATTTAAAACTCTCAAATATTTAGTAGTCAGTAAGGCTTTTAAAGAAAAATCGAAAGAATTTTTAGGAAAAGTGGGAATTGCAATTCACTCTGTATCGCAGATCACCTTGTGTTTCACAAAAATACAAAACAAGGTAAACAATCTTTATGTATATAGACTACTAATTAGATGTGTTATATGTAAGCCAATAGAATAGAAGTATACAAATCAGAAACTGGACAGAACGCAGGCAAATAGGAAGAACTCTAAGGATTTTAGAAAAAAAGCCGAAGTCATATTAGATATGAATGAAACAAATCTAGTGACAATAGTCTTAGATAGAAAGCTTGGGCAAGTAGGACAACTTAAAGAAAGTTATTTACTAAAACCTAAAAAGTTAGCAAGTATTAAAGCTCTGCTCAAAGAAGAAGAACTCCAGAAGCTAACTAGCATAATTGAGGAAATAGAAGGACACTAAAAGCAAATTGATGCATATGTATTAAGAATCATAGGTATTAGCACCAAAATAATTACTGTAACCCGAAACTGGCGTAAAATAATCAAGAGAATCATTATAGAAGAGAGCAAAGAGCTCTTAAATGATACTCTCACAGATTTAGAACAAGAGCTCTTGTTAGTGGAAGAGTTCAAAAAAAATATGACAAAGCAGAAAGGAAGTGAACTACAAAGTAAAGTAGAAGATATAATATCTAAAGATATAGAACAAGAGATAAACGAAGTCACACTGCTAATGCAGAATGTAAAAACAACAAATGCTAATACTAAAGCAGCTGTAAAAGTAGGAGCAAAGAAATCAAATAGCAACACCAAATTACTAATTTCTTAAGAAGTGAAGTATTTAAACAGAAAGCTCGCAAATAGTAATAAAACAGTAGTTAAGATTCTTTTTATAGAAAAGCAACCAAAAGATACTTCTGAAATACTGAATATACAAGAGACTAGTAGTGCTGAGAGCATGTTAAAAAAAAGTAAAGAGAATATTATAAATAGTATAGAACCTACAGTGATTGAGTCAAAAGATTTAGTATTAAGAACTCAAGACTTAATACTAGAGAATATGTATAATGCTCCACTAGGAACTTTACAAATAGAAATTAATAACCCAAAAGAGTACTGGAAGAAGCAACTAGATTATGCAATTACAAATTATAAAGAGCTACTAAGAACATCACTTGAAGACAGTCTATGGGCACCTAATGAAAACTCTTGCGAAGAACTGGGTAAGTTTAGAGCAAGAATTGCCTCTATCTCACTTTCTGGTAAAACAAAAGAAGAACATATCAAATTTGTAAAAGAAACTCTATACAGAAGTACTCATATAAGAGAAGTTGCAGAATACTTTGAGAATGGTAATAGCTGAGTAGTTATCAAATTTGACTGTCTTAAAGGCTTTGAGATATTAAGAAAGAAACTTAAGAAAAAAGAGATCAAGTGGTATAAAGTACTTTTTGTTGAGTATGAAGTTCAAAAAGAGCATAGGAGTACTCTTGATAAAAAAGCTAAAACCAAATCAATTAAACTCCAAGAAAAAGGCTACACTCAAGAAATTCACAAAATCTCAGGAGGTGAAGAAAAGAATAGCAACTATGCTAAGAAGGTCTCTGAAGCAAAAAGGAAAATAGCTTCGAAAGAGAATATAATTACCATATGGAACCTTCCAAATTAGACAAAAAGAGTATACATTTTTGAATCTATACATCATCTCAGAAGAGTCAGTCTTATACAGATTATCAAAGAAGCATATGATAAAACTTGTGTAGAAGTAGAGTTTGTATCTGATGATATCTATGTAAAAGACCTAGAAGACATATGGTGTATTCCATTTCTGAGTAATTGTCTAGTTAGAGTAACTACAAGAAGAAACAATCTAGAGATACTTAAAACACGAAGCAAATATTCTAGGAAAATACTTGACCTCTTAGAGGATGCACATGAAGTATTTTTGTGGAGACAAGTAAGATGTACAGGAGCTAAAGCTCTATATATTTTTAAGAACAATAATAATAATAATAAGAGGAGTGTAACTGTATACTTTGCAAGAGAAACTAATTGCATAAATTATACAAAATTTGTGATATTTTACTATGACGACAAACTCAAATAGGCTACACTAAGAGCTAATTTTAGTATAGAGAAGGATGTCTATATAGAGAGTACTGAGACTCCTAAAGTATATCAGAAAAAGAGTATGAAAAGCTATAGAAAAATGAAAGAAGTTAAGCAAGACTCTGAGGAAGGGTGCTTAAAGTTTGTCTCCAAAAAAGTACTGAATGAAAGAAAAGGACTTATAATATGAGAAGAGAATAATATAACAAGTAGTCATGATTATGAAAAGGAAGGCAATTCAAAGAAATTCTCCTCTATAGATTCAAATTACAAGAACTCTATCTGTTTTGAAAGTAGTAACAAGAATAGAAGAAGTAGTCATAAGAAAAGTAGCCAAAGAAGCTATCACTATACAAGTCTAAATAGTGTACAAAATAAGAAAAATAATAGCTTAAGTATGAGTAAAGTATTAAGAAGTTTACTAGTACTCGCAGAAAAAGAAGAATTTTCTCAGCAGACTAGTAATAGATATAGGAGTCATAAGGCTCCTAATCACTCCTAAATTATTACACTAGTTGAATTACAGAAAGCCTGAATTTCTCAAGAAGGAAAATTTAGAAATCAGCAAAGAGCAAGAGAAATCCAAAAAAACCAAATACAATTAAATAGTATAGGTGCAAATACAGTGTTAGAAAAGAAGGCGATAGAGGTAGAAATAAGCACTAATTTTAGGATACTTAGTATAGCAATACATAATATTAATGGGATAAAAGGCAAGACTATAAAGATAGAGTTACTAGCAGATTGAGCAAATAAGCAAAAAATTGATATTATAAGAATAAATGAATCAAATATTAGTGAACAGCAAGATAAATTTGTTTTAAAAAGAGAGTCTAGGTTTGTTAGCTTCTGGACATCAGCAAAAACGGATAAGGCAAAAGGCTCAGGAGTAGGACTTATGATTAACAAAGCATAGGAAAAGTACATAGGCAGAGTCTCTCATTGTAGTAATTATTATATAGACATTATGCTAGTTTTTAAAAAAGTTAAAATTCTAGTAATCACAATATATATCCTACCTACTAACAAAGACACAAAGAAACTACTTTAACAACATATTATAAAAAAGATTCAAGAAAGTAAAAGGAGAAATATCAAAGTTATCATTATGGGTAATTTTAATGATATTCGCTCTAATATTTTAGATCAAAATACAGTAGAGTCTAAGAGAAAGCAAACTCTTCTACTCTTAGTTTAGCTAGAAAATTCTTCATTTGAAGACATATACCAGAAAATACATCTTTACAAAAGAGAATTCACATAGTTAAATAGGAAATCAAGTACCAGAATTGATTATATTTGGGTATCTAAAAGTCTAAGCCAAGGTTTAATGAAGTGTAAAATTTTAGAGGCTAAATGCATTACAAGTAGTGATCATAAAATTATCTATGCTCAGCTAACTACAGGTTTCAGTTAAAATAACAGATTAGTAGCGAGCAGTAGAAGACTAAAAGGAAAAAGATATATCCTTAAACTTGAAAAAGCTACTGAAGAAGAGTAGGATATATATAAAGCAAATTTAGAAGAGTCATTTAAGAAGAAGCATGCTAACAGCATGTAGGATCTTTCAATAGAAGAATTCTTCAATCAAAGTAGCTTAGATGAGCTTTGAAATACTATATCAGATAGTATCATAAAAAGTGTATATAAGTCTCTACTAAGTAAGAAAGTACATATAGACATACTCTGAGTTGAGGACCATAGTATTAGTAGCAAAATTCTTAAATATTTAAGAGTAGTCAGCAAAATATGTTATACATGTTTAAAAAAACAGGGAAAACCTATTGAAATAGAAACTAAAGTTCAATAGTCAGCTCTAATACATGAGATTAATAAGAGACTAGATATAGCTATAGAAGAACTATCAGAAGACTTATGGACAAGTAAAAAAGATAAAGATCTTAAAGTATGGTAGAAAGATATTCATATCAAAGCACAGTATGAAAGGAAAAAAGAAGATAATAGGAGTATTAGCGAAGCAGTAGATAACAGATATGCTGCAATCCAAAGAGAACTTAAACACATGTTAAGTAGTAGATAGCAATATATATATATTGCTGTCTACTTATATTAGACTGTTATCTACTTATAAGAGTGATGAACAATTTGCACTTGCATCATCATTCAAGTGATGAACGATTCATACTTGTGTCATCATTCAAGTGATAAACAATTCATGCTTGTATCGTCATTTGAGTGATGAACAATTTACGCTTGTATCATTATTTGAGTGATGATTAGTTCACGAGTTCATCATCATTCGAGTGACAATTAGTTCATACCTGCATCATCACATTTAGGTATCTCACAATCTATAAAAATTATGATGATGATTTTATGTTCGCATTGTCATATTTAGATACCTCATGATCTATAAAAAATATATTAATAATGCATTCAGTTGCGTATTCACCCAAAGCATAATTTTTTATAATATATATCTGTAATAATTTTATCTTAGGTAGACACTAATTTTTCTTTGCTAACAATGCATTCAGTCATATGTTGTCATTTGCAGGTCCAGTGTGAGGGCTATGCCTGCACATAGTGCTGAATTGTTATCGTTTATTTTGTGTCTATTCAAAGTATAATTTTTTATAATATATATCTGTAATAATTTTACCTTGGGTGGACACTGATTTTTCTTTGAATTATGTAAATTTGAGCAATAAAATTGCGAGAAGGTAAAATCTCTGAAATTTTTTGTGACTAATACTTATTGATAAATTGTTATCATTTATTTTGTGTCCACCCAAAGCATAATTTTTTATAAGGCTTTGTCCATGCTTCACATAATATATATCTGTAATAATTTTACCTTAGGTGGATGCTGTTTTTTTTTCAAATTATATAATCAAAATAGTATACATTATATCTAACCATCCTTTCTTTAATAATTTTATCTTGACCAGACACTAATTTTCTTTGAATTATACCTTAACCGAAGACTAATTTTTTTTTAAATTATGTATATATTTTGTATTTATTAAAAGTATAACTATTCTTTCTATAAAATTATACCTTAACTAGATACCAAATTTTTTTTGAATTATATATATGTTTTGTGTCTATCCAAAGTGCACTTTATAAGATTGGTAATTATACTTTGACTAGACAATGATTTTATCTATACAATCTTATATTTTAAATTTGGCCTATTATCAAAAATTTTGCGATACAAAAATAGTTATCGATTGAATTTACTTACTCTATATATGAACTGCATTTTGATCAAAATTAGCAACACAAAAATGATCATAGTTACCTACTCAATTTTCAATTTGAATTTTTTCTAGCACTTATTGTAAGAGGTAACAAAAATAGTCTTACCTGAGGTGAATAGTTAGTTAGTAAATGTAGTAATATACCTTCTGCCAGAGGTATACTACTTAATTAGATTATACAATAATTACACATATTCAATGAGGGCTAAAGATTTATTTTTTAATTCTTTTTTGTGCAGAGTAGTAGATACACTCATCTTAGTTTCAAAATTTCGCTTATATTCCAAGAAGTCAGCTTCACTTATACTTTCATACTCTTTTTTTTTTTTTTTTCTCAAGTTCGAAAAAAAGTGATACTCCCAGGGTATAATTAACTAAAATATTTAAGTTAAATTTAATATTATAAAAATGCAAAATTATAATGAGATTGATACTAAAGCCCTTACCTATGCCAAAAGACGTGAAGGACAATGCTTAGCTAAAGTTAGATCAAACCCTAATATTTATTTATGAGTTTGTAAAAATTAGCATCGATGAGAAGCATCCTATAAAAATATGAAGCAAAATTATAGGTAGTGCAATATTTGCCTCAATATATTAGAAAGAATATGCTGATATATTTTTAAAGATTTATTAAATAAAAAATTTCTACTCAGAAAACCTAAATTCTTAGAAGGGTTACATCTAGATAGATATAATGAAGAGCTAGGTTTGGCCTTCGAATATAGTGGTAATCAACATTACCAAATCATGCCTTTTTTTCACCCACAAGGTTAGATAAATCTAGATGTACAAATTTGGCATGATTGGAAAAAAAGAGCATTATGTTATAGAGAAGGAATAATCCTTATTACAATACCTTACTGTGTAATAGACTTAGAAACTTTTATAAGAAGCACCTTATATGCATTCAGTTATCTTCCAAGACCCACCTGGGAGGTAGTATAGGTTTCTCCTTAATATGTATTAATTTTTCTCTTACAAAAGAACGTTGAGGACCTGTTTTATCTAAATAATATAATACAGATATTGTAGATTTTTTCTAACAACAATTTTTTGAATTTTATAAAGGCTTGGACTCCATACTGAATCTGTTATTCTTTGTTATTCAAAAGGATCATTTTTTCATTCACCAGAAGCAAGTAAAAATCAAACTATAGTTCCTTTTGGTAACTGTGGCTCATCAGTACCTACTGGATGATAATACTTTATTAATAGCTTAGAATATATTCGTTCAAGCTTCATAGCACTATTAGGGCTCATTCTAATTAATTGAGTTGGAGTATCATTCA